GGCTCAAACTGGGATCTTTCTCTTATGTATTCACAAGATGCATCCAAAATTTGCAACATCTCCGCAACCTCTTCTTCCAGTTCCAAGTGATTGAACAACATCAATGCCTTTTCTAGTGCATCCTCTTTAAATGCACTTGGCTCAACAACTGGTTCATTAATCTTCACCACAGAAATCATGGACAGGTCCTCGTAATGACGAGGCAACTGAATGGCTCGATATACATTGAAGACCGCTTCTTCATTGTCCACCCTCAGAATCATCTTACCTTCTCGAACTTTGATAATGGCATCTCCAGTGGCCAAAAGAGACCGTCCCAAGATGATAGGAACTAACTCATCAGCCTCGTATTCCAGGATGATAAAATCTGCAGGGAAAATAAACTTTCCAATCTGCAGCAAGACGTCCTCAATTACCCCCTCAGGATAGATATAAGATCTGTCAGCTAACTGTAGCAATACCGTGGTGGGTTTCGGAGCTCCTAATCCCAATTGTTTGAACACTGACAATGGCATCAGATTGATACTTGCACCCAAATTACACAAGGCTCTACCCACATCAATTTCACCAATCCTCACGGGGATGGTAAAACTACCCGGATCCTTAAGCTTTTCTGGAAGCTTATTTTGAATCCTGGAAGTGCACTCCTCAGTAAGTGCGCCGGTCTCAAATTCAGTTAACCTCCTCTTATTTGCCACTATATCCTTAATATATTTTACATATTTTGGGACCTCACGGATCATGTCCACCAAAGGGATGTTCAAGTGTATCTGCTTCAGCATATCTAAAAATTTGTGAAACATGTGGTCATCATTCTTCTTTCTCAGTCTTTGAGGAAAAGGAAGTGGCACCCTCTCTGATATTTGCTCAGACTCTGTTTTGTTTCTCTCATCTACCTCTACAGATTTTGGCACTCTTTCTTCTTCGAGCCCAGACTGCTAATTTTTCTTCTTAGGCACTTCTACTAACTCTCTCCCATTTCTCAACGTCACTGCATTGACTTGAGGATTTTTCTCTGTATCACTTGGGAGAGCTCCATCAGGTCTAATATTCTAATTGTTAGCCATTTGCCCAAACTGCCTCTCTAGATTTCTGAACTCTATGCGCAATTGTTGATTCTCAGCCATAACTTTCTGATTGTCTAGCAAGAGCTTTTTCATCATGTCAGTCAAACTCTCTTCTGATTGCTGTGGAGGTTGAGGTGGATGATTATAATTTGCTTGAGGCTTGATGTTCTGATTTCCACCCCAAGAGAATTTAGGATGATTCCTCCAGTTCGGATTGTATGAGTTACCATATTGAGCATTTTGATTCATCGACCCTCTAGCTTGTTGCCCCACGTAGTAGATAGATTCAGGATTCACGGGGCATATGCCACTTGTGTGACCTTCACCACATAACTCGCAGCAAGTAGACATATGTTGCACATGATGCATCTGTTGTGCTTGGTGCGTTGTCATCTTATTCATCTGATTTGCTAATCTCACTATATATGCCCTCATGGCTGAGAAATCATCAAGATCGATCACACCTGTTGTCTTTTGTTTAAGTGCAATTCTACTAACTCTCTCCCATTTCTCAACGTCACTGCATTGACTTGAGGATTTTTCTCTGTATCACTTGGGAGAGCTCCATCAGGTCTAATATTCTGATTGTTAGCCATTTACCCAAACTGCCTCTCTAGATTTCTGAACTGTGTGCGCAATTGTTGATTCTCAGCCATAACTTTCTGATTGTCTAGCAAGAGCTTTTTCATCAT